CACCTCTAACACATCCATCCATTTATATGAGAGGTTGATAAACCCCAGTAGATAGTGAATACATGAATACTGCACAATGGATACAAGTACTCATGAACATGAATGACAAAATAGATATTTTTCATGCCTTCCAAAATACCCCTTTTGATCACTCAAAGAAAAAAGCCTTAGATTTTTGACTTTTTTCTTGCTGATATTTAAACTATAGGTCTTTTTGGTGGTGGGCTTTTTATTTTTTATTGAATATTACTATTCTCAATTATGTGTTTTTTTTTACTTTAAAAAAAAATGTACACGCCCAAAGCTTGGGATCAATCTGGGGATGATGTGACTAACACAAACATCAACCTTTACTGTCAAGTGACACATTGCTAGCATAAGAGTAGATAAGAGAAACATTACAAGTAGTAGAGACACTTTCAGGTAGACTGGAAGAAACATGACAAACCTATCCTAGCAAAGGAAAAGGATCTGGACAATTGAAGCATAAACGCCTGATGGGAAGGGTGTCCCGAATGTCCACCTCAATGTCCGAATGGTTGTTCTGGCTGCCAAAACATCATAAAAGTGCTGAAACTCAAAAGAGTTCCCATGTCAGAGGAATGGAAGCAGTTCGCTTACCTCAGGCCATCATCATGGGTGATCAAGACTGACATGCATCACCAGAGGCTTTCATGTCCAATGAGAACACCTGTCCGACTGACCTGGGTGTAACTGAGGAATGCCATTGCAGATAACATTTCATATGTGCCACACAGCCACAGAAGACATGCTGGCAGGTTGTACTAAATCTGGGGCAAATATATGGAAAATAACCCAGAATGGATGTTTTTGTTGTGAATGACTCAAATAAAAAGGAATGTTCCTGCTTATGATTTTTGGATTTAATTTGTTTCTCTTATCATTTTTCATATCCTTATTTAAAGTAAAAGGGTTGTGTATCAACTAAATAACTTATTTTTTAGAGAGCTTTTAAAAGATGCACACAGAGACTTCAGTTAATTTATGTGGGTTGGTTTATTTCTGGTCTTTGGGGCCCATTACAGGGACACAAAGAGAAAGTCAATCAGTAGAGGTTAATGTGGACAATCTGTAGTGAGGACAGACGATGAATGCAAAACAGTGGTGAAGTGTACTGAGTAAAAATGTCGTGCCGGTGTGTGGCTGACTTTATAAATATTAAGTTGTGCATTTTCAGTGCAGTGTCTGTTTCACTGCACACTTAATTGCAAGTAATTGCCATCTATTGTTTTAAAAAATCAATTAAGAGCATTAAAAAACTAAAAATGTTAAATAGTCTGCATTTATGTAACCCTTTTCTTTTCTTGGCTTTACAACACAAGCCAGCGTTCACCCAGTCACACACTGGTGAGAGACGCTACCATTAAAGGGGACAGCTTGGTAATGCAATATGTATTATAGCTTTAACTCTATCGTAGAGATTTTACATTAGATCTAATAATGGATGTGTAAGAGATGACCAGTTACGACGTTGACTAAATAACCAAAGTGGTGACACAATGCTCAATCTTTATTGGGTTTGAGCACTCATTAAATGTCTCTAATTGCCTTCTCATAATGATTGATGCCTCTCCTCTCTTTCAATGGACTGGCTACATTTTTCAGGCATTGAAAAAGCCTGTCCAGAAACTAAACATGACAGGCAGGGTTGCCTTGGCTGCCAAATAAAAAAAGGCCCCTTTGAGCCAACAGTGCTGATCATAACCAAGCTTACGGTTCCCCAAAATCACATCCCATCATGCTTGTTTTGGACCGCCATTGTCCTCTATTATCTATATCTAATGTGATGATTTTAGGTTGTTTGCAGATAATTTAAGTATCTATAGCCACTGATCTTCGCGCACACAAGAAGGATACAAAGCATGCATCCCCTATTGAAAGCAAACAGAGAAAAGACAGCCTGGTTGATGGTGTCTGGCTGTACAGGAAGAGATGGCTCTGAGGTTTGATGGGGCAGAAGAAGGCTCATTCAGACGGCTGGCTGCTCTTTTTGACGGCATGTCAGGGTCGGCTCGCAAGCTGCTCTGCCGCATCTTGGTGATGCAGTCATTATTGTGGCAGGCCTGTCAGAACAAACTGGTGCGCTGCAGACAGATACAGCTTTAGTGCCTGGATGGGGAGTATGCAACACATGCACCACCCTAACATGGAATATGTTCCCCAAACTGGCAAGCTGGTGGCAAGTTAATGACAGGAACGACCAGTGACACCATATAAAAACATGATTACGCTCCACTAAAGACATCTGAGTGACTCCATAGATCAAACAGACAGGGTGATGACTTAAAACACTAACAGACTGGCTACTGGCATTATTTTAAAAAGGGACCTTGATAACAGAATACAAGTCTCAATAGACTCTATCATTTAAATGGAACATTTCACCACAAATATGATACAGCATTAATAAACATTATATCCTCTCACACTCAGGAACACACAGGAAGAAGATGAGACAGAGAGAAGGGAGAGGGCTCAGGCATTGCCAAGAGCCTTTTTGCATTGCATCACCAATGCAGTGTTTTTATTTGTGATGTATTCAAATGAAATGACAGTCTCAGTGGGAGAATAATGTGTAATCATTAGTAAAGGGTTTGTAAATTATTTATGCAATGTAAACCATCATAATTTACCTCTACTCTTTCTTATATTGCCATTAACAAGTAACTTGGAAACCAATAAATGTCACAATCGCTTTCACTTAATTAAAACAATAGCTATCATATTACAAGGTAAGATGTCAGTCATACCACAGACATATGCACATAGCAATTTACTGCTAAAGTGTTATGAGAGAGGGTGACACAAATAATAGCCATTAAGCTGTCAGCTCCTAAAGGCTGGATCACATTACTGAAATTAGCCAAGATGCATTATTATAAACAACGCAGTCCTCTTTTAACACATACATACAACATTGATAAACCCACATTGACACCCACAAACAACATAATGGAGAGTGCAGTCTAAAAAGAGAGAAACAAAGACACTGCAGCAATGTTTTATACTTTTTATTAATAAAACGACATGCTTTAATGCATGCTTGTCTGTATTATTGAGATGTATCATTTACATTCTGACAATTAAAGAGTCTAAAAGGGCCTCTAATATCAATGTGTTATGTTTTCTAATCCTGAAATGTCCATCTGCCACGTCTGAGCCCAGTATTTGATTAACAATGTGACATCTATTCCTATTGTGTGTGCTGGCATGATAACAACTTTCAAATATATGTAACTCAAAGTGTCTTTGCAAATGTAGTAAGGCAGTACAACAAGCTTCATGTCTTTTAGGGTGACGTCAGTATCACTCAAATGAAAAAGTATTAATACCTCTGACTAACAGAGTAAACAAAGGAAAATTAAACAACGATGAAAAATGAATGAAAAACAAGCTAAATACAGAGTGGTGCACCACAAGCCAACAGTTAAGTTTCAGCACTGGTAGTATTTATGGCACATGGCACATCCACAGCCAACACTGACATCTGCTGGTTTTAAATAAGGATTTTTATCTTTTAAACTTTCAACATTTTCTTATGTACATGCCGCCTTTTTACCTATGTGTCAGACATTGCTGACGCTTTGAAAACACATTTTTAAACTAGTATTTTCTCCTTTGTACTTCAGACTTTTACATTTGCAAATCCCACCATCCTAATCCTCATTCCTGCAGCCCTCTGATTTCCATTTAACATAGATCAATTGAGTTGGGTTACACATGTATCAGCAGGACTAATTTATTTATGAAGCTGCTATTTGTAATCATTGATCAGGATGTTCTCCGTTAGGAAACTAATGATATGCAGAGGTACAAGATTCCCTAATTATTGTGTTTGGTCTAATTGAGGCTGTTTGCTTCTGCAGGAGGGTTCAGAGGAGAGCTGACTGCTGCCCCGTCTGCCAAGCTAACAGACACGCCAGCAGAATTAAAGCAGATTAACTTAGAGGGAAATTGGTCGTTTAGTGAGACTTTGTTTTATTACAGCACTCGGTGTCAGTCCGTGCAAAATGAAATACTGGTACCAATACCGGATTGGTCTCATTTGGCAAATACCGTAACTGTTAACAATTACAATACCACTAGATAAAGTCGACATTACGAAGGAAAATGTAGCCCAACTCAAGGCAGTCATGTTTGCTTTTGTTTCATTTAGCCTTTGAGCTATGATTGGTTAAGAAATGCAATATCTCTCCACTCCACCCTGCTGAACAATATATTATCTGGGCTCTCTCAAAATAATCTGCCAGAGATTAAAGGGTAAAATGCTGTCAGGACATGTTTTATTTAGTTGTATTTACTCTTGATGACCATTTATATTGAAAACAACAAGTGCAATACAACATAGCAAAACATGGCATGATTTGGTTTCAGATATTTTAGCTTCAGAACATTTAAATAGGCCAAAAATGGTGTATTGTAAATTGTTCCTGGATCAACAGCACGTAGTGGACAACTGTCTATAACTGCCTGTATTCAAGCAGATTATGCTCGAAATGTCAATTTTTTTTTTTATTATAAATATACACACACTTAATATACTTTTCGAGTGTTTAACAAGTTGAATTTAAATTGAAGCTGTTAATCTTCACTAACAAGAGAATCATTGTTTGTTTGATGCATTTATTTTAATTAACTCACCAAAACAAACAAACCAAACTAATGTCGTGCAAATTGTTCTTGCATTTCTATTTGTGACCAATAGAGGGCAGTCTTGAATCTATTCTAGCCCATTCAGATCTAAACATCCATTCACAGGAAGTGAAAAATAAAACACTGAGATTTATACCTTAATTTAAGTTAAAAAACGATATAAACGTACATTTGAAAACGTTCCCTGTTAATCACATGAGTACTGTATGATATAATTAAGCCAAAATTAAATAGGATCAAGATGTTCAGAGACAGTACAGTAAGCAGCTAAGCACCAGAAGAGATGGGAAAACATTTGCTTTGATTTTCTCCAAAAATGCTACAAAAACTGTCAACCTCATGTTTATTATACTACACTACAGCATATGATTGTATGAAATAATGTTGCATATGAGAATCCTTTACAAAGAAAACACATTTAAAGGTGCACAAGAGTAATGCGTCAGAAAAACATTGTGTCAGTCTTACAGAATATGAACAAGAGACATTCTTAAAGTAACTGGGGTCAGCAAATACCTTGTGCAGTCTATCACAAGAAAAGGTTATACATGTAAATCTGCAGAAAATAACATACAAAATGGACAGGAAAAAGCATTATTTTAAATCAAAGTAAAAGCTTTGGAATCCAACTGTATAAGGAATGCAGAGAGCAGCTTTCATAAAACTATTTGCACAATTTAAACAACACTGCTTTTTGCAGCCAATCCAGCAAGTCATCACATGGATTCATCTCAGGTACATTTCTGCATCAGATTTCCACTGATTTTCAAAGTCACTTAGTGAGTGAGAGGGGAGTGTGCTGTATTTTAAATTATTCTTTAAGGCCATTAGCTTGAGCTTTTATCCCCAGCCGCTCCTGCCTCTCAGCCTGTCTGTCCAAGGTGGGGCTGAGGCCCCTGAGTGCTGAAGAGGGCAGGCGAGAAACCCCGTTGACTGTCCGAGCCCCACTGTCTATTGGGCAGATATAGTCCGCAGATTCATCAGGTTTCCTTTTCCTGAGGTGACTGAATTGGGTGAATCCCAGCTTCTTGGGCTGAAAACACAGAAAAGTCGAACCCATTAATAAATCATTTACATTGTATGCTGCTTCAACAGAAACATGTTGATTCTTGTTTTGCTCTTACCTTTACTTTAGCAGTGGTAGTGAGGGGTACATGGCCTGTGGCATTGCCATACTCTCGTTTCTCCTGCGTGGCCTGATGCCCCACCAGGGCAGCGAAGGCAGTGGCGAGGTGGCGACGGAGCAAAGTCTTCTGTGGAGGAATATTCAACAGCAGTGCCAAAGTCTCTGAGCTGAAGCGAGGCTCGAGTATCTATGGAAGAGCGTATTGACAGAAGAAGACAACAACAAATGTAGTTATTCAGTCTTGTCATGAAAGCATGTGAAAAACTTGCAGAAAAGCTCAAAATCTACTTACAATAAGCCCTCCATGTACGCCGCTGCCTCGTAGATTAGGGGCATACTCGGCTAGATCTACTGCTCTCAGCCACTCCATCACACGGTGGTTTGACCACTGCACCACCTCTGAGGGAGAGGGATTTTTCTGCCAAAGTCAAAAACAAAAAGTATTAATCTTCTATCTCATTCATACTAGTTTGATCCATGTTCTAAATACATTATAAGTGAGTGCTTTGAATGCACCATAGAGGCATTTATACATTATGCTTTATGTTAAAGGCATTTCATGTCTGTATGTCGCCATCTTGTGGGCAGCTCATGTAATAACACCTATTTCCAAAATCCACAGTAACTTATAACTTGCACTTCCTGTTGCTCCATTCAATGTTGGCTTACCTCTTCCCCTGGCCTACGTCGAAGACAGTGGGGGTTGAACTTGTTGACATGAAGTACATGGATGGCACATTTAATACTGAGATGATGAAGCTGGCTGGTGACCTTCAGAGTCAAGAGGTCGTTCTGAGGGAACAACAAAAGAACAGTGAATATCATTGAAATTAAGGACAATTATGCAAATGTTTAAATACATCTGAAATGTAAATATATGTATTTGCAGGCCTCCACATTCATGGGAAATGTTACAGTTGGATTCAGTCTTACCACTGTGAGGTATTGTATCATTCGACCATCCACCCGGGCTTCATGGAAGTGGTCTTTATACTGAGGCAAACCTATATCATCCAACCAGCCTAGATGGGTGAAAAGTGTACATTAATTGACTTCACTCACTCTCCTTATGAATGCTGAATCAAGCACCATCAGCTGTGTTATCACTGTAACTGCTCAGTGCAAAATACAGTTCCTTTCTGAATGCTGGCCATATTTGCATTTTTTTCCAAACAGATTTACATCTCACACATTACATGTCTTTGTTTGTTTTGTTGGCCCGATATGTCCCAGTCTCTATTTATGGATTATGATTCAAATGAGAACAAATATTCCATGTAGAAAGAGTCTTACGTGTGACCCAGATGTAGTCCAGCTCTGAAGATTTCTCTATAACCTTTGTGGTGAAGGCCTTGAGAGCGAGATGTAACTTCTTCCTGTGCAGCGGATTCTTCATACCCATCTCCTGAGGTCAAAAAAAAAACTGTCACTATAAAACTAAGGATTGGGGAATCAGTGGTGGTGCACAATGTAGTTTATTTTAGCCGTTTTAAGTCTTCAATTTAGTCATGAATATGTTTCTTTAGATACCTACTTAGAAACTATATATGAGTAAAAACATCATGTTGTACATTCACATCATTTTCTCAATGTTTAGTGTAACTGTTCTGTTTTATTCTCTGACCTTCTCAAAGTCCTGCGGTGTGGCAGACAGCAGTGTCTGTCCATGTTCGACCCACTGCCGGGTGAGATTAACATACTGGCCCAGTCCATAGTCCTCCAGCCAGCCGCACACCTGTTCCTTGGTCCACTGGCTGAATGGAATATTCAGATCACTGAAATAAAAAAATAAAGAAATCAGATAATGAACAGATTCATTTATGTCAAGTACTTTAATGTGATTTATGTATGTAACACATTTAAAGAATCGTATTTGTTACACTGTTTGATTTGGGTATTTATAGAATGGTGAATGCACATGACGAGACATGAGAACCAAACCAGATTTGTTTAAAGGAGTAAAACAGAATGCTGACTTGCCTGATAAGAAACCCTTAAACTCTTACTAAACAGATAGGTACACTGATTTTTACCGTGCTGGGTCATAAGACTCGGGGGTCCTGGTCAGTCTGGGTCCTGCTGTGGCACGCAGACCCCCTCTTCTAAACTGACCGCCGTCTGAATCGGCTGCCTGCAGGCCTCCTGACTGGGTTCTCCGAAGTCTGTATGAAGGAGAGTTAACATCATCAAACCATTTCATTCTCAAAGTTAAATGATAACATATTTGGCACACGTAGAAATATTGTGGTGGTGATGGAAATCCCTAAGGTGAGTCTTTAATGACTTTTAGATAAAACTGTTATCATCAATCATTCAACATCTGACAGGGTTGTGCAACAGTGTAGTTTCAGTAATTATATAGTAAGTTTTTACTTTTTTACTTTACTGTAATAAGTAGGAGAGTTTCATTATGCAGGAAAGATTTCTTTATGGAAAAATCTCTATATGTTTATTTTTTCTCCACTTATATATTATTTATACACAAATATATTCTCTATAAACCATATGTATTTTGGCTTGAAGTACATATTTATACGTATACTTTTTAAGGTCTATGTAATGTTTGGTTTTCTTCTTTTTTTCCATACTTGGCCAGCATTTATGTTGGTGTATTGTTGATTTATCACTGTCATTTCCCACACTCACTTTCCCCAGAGCCTCTTTAAGCTCCTGTTATTCTTCATGTATTCTGGTGAGCCCACAGCTCTTAGGCCGGGTTGTGTGTTCTCTGCAGAATGAACAGGAGAATTATCGCTCGAACTGCTGTCATCAACTTTCTCCAACTTTCCTGTAAAACGATAAAAAAACTAAAGTCAGTGTAAGTGCAAATATGGTTCAAAAGTTATGAAAGTACTGTGAAGGGCAACTTAGAAGCAACATATTTTAGGAGCATTTGATAAGTAGAAAAAAAGAGTTTAATTGTGATTGGCAAAAATAGACGTACTGTCATCTTTCCAAATAAACAACATTTCAACACTGGAAACTTGGAAAAAATAGAATGTCTTAATTTATGGTTTCCTGTAGCGAAGCGTGAAAGATAAATCTTGATGATGATTACTGAGTAAAAAGCAGTAAAAATAAATTCCGTTGCTCTTTTCTTCGCTGGCATACCAAAAATAACATTCAGAGCAAAGCGGCGCACGTGTTTCAGTCTGTCTTGTTACAGTACTCTATTCATGAGCGAGAACACAGGTCACAGATCATTGAGTTTGACAAAAAATGCACTGGTTAATGCCCTGTGAAAAAGAAGGGGTTCAAGCTAAATGTTACAAGGTGTGATATTTATGGTGTGGGCTTCAGTCAGTCAGAACGCAGCAGAGAAAAAAATCAGGGTGGGGCTCAAGTTAAAAATGGTCGGTGAATCTCAGGAAGGGAGGATCTGAAATGAATGAGAGAGAATGAATGAGAGAGGGTGTGTTTGGTGAGAAAGTCTTTCCCATGAGCCATCTGCTCTGTCAGGAGCCTCTGCAATTAAATGTGATCAAAGGTGCAGCGGTCGTCTGGTCAAAGGAGAGTGGTTTGCTCCAAATATGAAAGCTGCATCTGCGCACAGGAGTTACTGGCCCCGCGACTATTCCCCAGAAACATTAGGTCTGATCCTACATCAAAGATGATTACTGCACGCTATCCATCATCATGTGTAGCTTGAGTTAATATATCTGGATTTACTTTGGCTGGAGTCTCCATCTTCGCTCCCATCTGGAGACCTTTGACTTTGGATTTCACTGCTGCTGTCTCCGCTCCCGTTCTGCTCTGACAGAGAGGAATTCACAGGCAGCGTCTGACTTCTGGTTTCATCCAGACCATTCTGGATAAACCACACACAGATACAAAAGGAAAATGTAATAACTGTAAATATATCTATTTTGAGTATCATGTACTGGGCAAATGAGAACATTCTGACCTCTCATGCATTAATCATGTACCATAAAAACTTTAGCTTCCAGTAAAGTGTAGAACAGTATAATGATTGGAAGCATCCGTTGTTGATTGTATAAGCCTATCTAAGATAGAAGAATATGGACACACTACATTTGTAGGATGATTACCTTTTGTAAAGGTCCATTTTTTAGGTCATTCATGCTACTTGATAAGGTTGACGGGTCTGTTCTGAGAAGATAAAGACAACATCATCTCAGTAAAAAAAAGAGATATCGGAGTCATCCATGACCTAACAGCTGCTTTATTACCTGGAATCACTGTCCTTCTGGGCGGATGATACAGATGTTTGTCGAGAGGAAGAACTGCTTGTGGAAACCTTTAAAGGGTAAATACAAATCAATATCATGTTTAAGCAAGCAAATGTCTATCAAGTAGCTGAAATGGTTTGTACCTCAGACTTTACATCCACAGATTTTACACTGGCAGAGTCTGTAGTATTCTTCATCAGTACATGCTCCTCTTCCTCACTGCTGCTTGACGGAGTCCTGCCATTTGACAACGACCGAACAGCAGGTGGAGCTACAGTAACAAAGAGAAGAAACCCTTATTTCTCAGCTCAAGCCGTGGCGTACATTTCTGTTAAGGAGGGGAAGAGTGGTGGCTTTCATGCTGCTCAACGTTGTTGCTCACATAATAGAAACGCCACTAGGGAAGGATAACGCAGTGAATAAGCTGATTACCTTGCCGTGTGGTGTGAGGGACCTCTCTGAATTGCCTGCACTGATTCAGGAGCAGAGTGAGCTCTTCAATGCGTCGTTCCTAGAGTAAACAGAGAGGAAACTCAATTAAGATGTTTATCTAAGGTTAGGAAACACACATATGGACTACCCACTCCACTCTATTACTGACCCGTACACCACACAAACGTCTCTCTTTTACCATATGGCCTTTACATCAAAGTTGTGGATAGGGAGGGGATTGACACAGGCCTGGCTGGAAATCTTAGTTGTGGTAACCAGCTGTTTATTTTTTGAAGTGATGCCCATGCCTGGTTTTGTCATGGTTCTCCTAATGCAGCTCACTCCGAAATTAGGCTTGGCAGATCGAGGCCTACTTAAGTGTGGCTTTGCCTGAAATGGCCCGCCTTGGGGTGTGTGTACGTGTGTGTCCTTCGGTAGTGTGCCACATGTAGGCTCTCGTCTTTGAGTCTTTAAAGTCCGAGAGTGTCTGGGAGGGTGAATACAAAAGCCCCTCTGTACTATAAATGGTGGAGGGCGGCGCCTCTGAGAAATGACAACATCTAAAAACAGTTACCTTTTAACCTTTCAAACAGCATGATGATAGCAGTTCTATATACAGGCCAGTAAGACACTTTACGTTGTAGTTAACCAAGACAACACATGCTGCCTTATACTGCTTGATCACAAGCAGCTGTGTTGACCAGAAGAGAAAGGAAATATTTCCACATCACTCCTAACTTACCTTTTCATCATTGGCAGTCACCAGTGATTTCATTCCACTCCTTAGCTTCTGCAGCTCCTGATCTAAAAAGAGAAACACCACACTGATTATTAGTCTGTAAAAGCAGCTGCTCATGTCATGTCAAATAAATTAGTATTTTGTAGAGAAACATAGTCACATACTATACAGTTCCATAGGAAAGGCAAACATACATGCTAACATGAAGTACAGTTTTTCCTCACTGGAGTGCCATCAAAAACTGTGTATTTTTAGATTCTCCCAAGCCTTTTCTAATCTACCAATCATAGCTTTAGCCATGTCAGCTTTCACATAGTTGGGCCCACAGTCTATCAACATTCCCTTCGTAACTATTACAGGCACACAGAGATTATTGCTTGGGACTGACATTGGTTTTACTGAGCAAGTACCCCATGTGTTTAACTGACAAAATTGGAAGGAACAAAAACATATTAGTCATAGGAAACCATATAGACAATTAAAAAGCCATAGGGATAAGAGATAGTGCATTAAATAATCTTTGGAAATGACTTGTTATGATCATAGCTGCCCCTCAGAACAGAAATCAACTAAATCTAATCAAATACAGAGACATGTTTGGAGTAAAGAAATAATTGAAAGATCAAAAGTAGACATGGCCCATGGGTTTTAAATGTTTTTCATTAAGTACTGCTCCAACACTGCAACAACTGCTCAGGCTTACATTTGGTGTTTAGCCTAATTTTCCCACAGATCTTACTGCAAATAAACGGATGCAAATATGAGTCATTAACTGCGTCACATATCAGGCTGGGTTAGTGTTCAAGAGAGACAGGCTGTTGTTGGCAGGTTGTTTGAGGCTGGGTGCCATGCTTACCTCTCTCCGGGCTCTCAGGGGATAGAAAGGGTCTGGCCAGCAGCTGAGTGTGCAAGCTCTCGATCTCAGAGTTCTTACTGAGCAGAAGCTGCTGAAGGCTGCTGATCTCTGCCTGTGGGGGCCACACAGGGAACAATCTTAGAAGGGTTATATACTGCAATCGCAAACGCTGTCTGTTTAAACATGCTTTTTAAGTTATCTCACAGTCACAAAAACAAGACGTTAAAGTATTAATGTCTGCACATGTCTGCACTTGAAAACCACATTTTGAAAGATCCTCAACGATATTGTACCGATACATGTACATGGAACAGAAAAAGAATTACAATAGACATTTGAATCTGAGAAAGGAACATTTCTTGTTTTTTAAATGTTAAATGAAAAAAAGCTGCTAGCTTTAGGCTGATCTATTTAGCAGTTTGTAATATAGCTGTATGTCAGCCCGTATGTTATGTAGGAATGGAAGGTCAAAAATACATGTTTTGTTTTGTCAAACATTACATACGACTATTATTTTTCAAAAGGTAGAGTTAGAAACAGAAACTCACAGACGAAGGCATTTTTACATACCATATCTACATATGTGGCCAGTTATTTGGGAGTGCATTAAGATTTCCTTCAATTGTTCAAATTGTGAAATAATTGCTTTCTTTTCAAATATGGGTAAACATCCAGTTGATAGTGAGGTACCGATTCATATTTGATATTTGAAAAGCTGCAGATGGTTTTATACAGTGTTCACATACACTGCACAACAAACCAGATGGACCTCCTTTGAAAAATACCAAACATAGATAATACCATTTTAAAACGGTATTTCCCTATAACCCTAAGCCAGTCTAAGGCATAACTTGTATGAATGAAGTCTTAGCACCAAAATACTGTTTTAGTGTGGAGTTAAAACAGCAAATAAAAGATATCTAAATCTTAGTCAGATAAAGTGCCAGAGGGGGAATGCAGCAGCAAAGACTGTAAGAGAGATTATGAAATATTTGGAAAGATAATGAATTTATCAAAGGCTGAGATCATGCAAAACTGCTCGAGAAAATCTAAGAAGTTTAGACCATGGGATCATGCCAAGGTATACAAGTAGGGCATTAAAAGGGATTATGCCGTTATTAAATGTATTTCTACAAGACTTTAAAATAGAAAGTGAACAGTTCTCAGACCTCTTAAAGGTCCCATCATGCTTTTCCGGTTATTACCCGTCCCCTTGTGTGTTATAGCTTTTTCTGCATAAATGGTCTGCAGAGTCACAAACCCTCAAAGTACACCCTGTAGAGCAGGGGTGCCCACACTATTTTGGCTGGTGAGCTACTTTTGAAATGACCAGCTCACCGAGGTCTACCAACCAAAAATAAAATCCCAAATTGCAAGGGTTGCTGAATAACACGTTTTATTTATACATGGCATAACTACAATAGGGCTGCAACAAACGACTAATTTGATAATCGATTAATCTATCGATTAATGAAACGATTAATCGACTATTCGGACTATTACTGTATGCCTTGCTAAATTTCTCAAACGCTCTTATTTAGCCATCAACTTTTAGATTTAGCTTGAGGTTGTTTTAGGCATGTGGAAACTAACAATGAAGACAATAAAGATGAATACTTGATTCAAAAATACATAATTATTAAATTAACTTAACAAATTGTGAACAAAATTAACATTGCTTTTTATTTGAATTAAATAAATAATATTTCACATCAAAAGAAACAACAATGTTTTAACAAATCGTATTAAATAATCTGATGACAGAACTGTAAACAAAAAGCTAAAGACATACCACTACCACCCAGAATTTCTGGGTGGAAGTGGTATGTCTTTAGCTTTTTGTTGGTCCCGCACTCATTTAGTTGTTTGTCTCTTTAACTTAATTTGAGTTTTCCCAGCACTTGACTGATTTTGTATCGCTTTGCATTCTGGGTTAACAGACTGGAAAGCGATAGGGTTATGGCTAGAAAGGATCCGTCTTGTGTAAAACTCTCGCGAGAGTTTGGCTGAATGTCACGTGGCTGAATGTTTACGTTGACGATCATTAACATCAGTTGGCCACAGCAAATGATGGTGAGAAGCTAAACTATCTATTAATTATGTCAATGACAGGGAGTGTGATTATTGAAATAGGGTGTTAGCGGTCTTGTTGGTGTTCAAAGAAGAATGACAACACTGTAGATCACCAACACTATGGTTTATTTTTTATTCACAGGCA